TGCTTAGGCGAAATTTTTTGACGGAAGTGGTAAGGAAATGTATGACTGGATTTGTGGATGTGTTGATGAATTAGTTAGCTTTGATGCGATGAATAAGGTGAGATTGTAGAGTAAAGTGCTTTGAAGTGTAATGATGGTGAAAAGGATTTGGATGAGGTTGTAGAGACATTGCGACAGCGGCGATCGTTGTCGTTGTGCAAGTATCTGACCGAGGATGGCGAGATGATTGGTGACTACAACCTCATGATGGCTCCACTCTACCAGTGGTGTGAACGTATGCGCAGACGAACGCAACACCCCGAGCCCGAGAGCGACACCTCTATGTGGGGTCAGTTAGGCTCGTGTGCATCATCGCAGCAACGCCATCGCAACCCTTCGTATGACTACACCATCGGTATTCCCAATCCTCTCCTCTGTTTCTATCGCTAACTCACCCTCTTCTCTTAATAGTTCCGCTTGACATTTCATTATCACTTCTCCAGATTCGTCTCCTACCTCCTTATCCTGACCTGCTTCAAGACTGGCCTTGATGATCCTCTCTGGAATGCCTTATCCACTCATCTCTTCTGTCTTTCTCTATTCCTTATTCGTTTCAAACTTCCCTCCTCTCTTTCATAACTTCCTTCACTTCCCATTTATATCAGCATGCAACTGTACCATACAGCGAGACACGAACCATTCTCCGTAATTTATCCAATTCTGATCATCACTTTCACTGTTGTAAGCCATATTGCACCTGAGTTTAGTAGAAAGCATCGTGAATACCTACCTGGAAACGTTCTAGGTTCTAAAACTGACTGCCCTTCAACTTTGATTTACTGAGGGATTTTTTTGTTCATGATTATTTTTAACGAAGATTCTTAGCCGTAATGGGATTAAAGTATTGTTCATGGATCGTTGCCTTATTTCGTTCCCGCATTAATATCGATTGGATGTTGCTTGATGCTCGCTGATATGTTCGTATAAATCTATCAATCGAATGTGATCATATCGTGCTTGAGGAACTAACGGTGATTGCAATGAATACGATCATTTTGAGCCAAAATTTTTTGGGGATTCACTGACAGAGAAGTTTGAGGATTCGATGATTTACATTTATTAGAAAGAGTGAATGCCTATAGTAGAGGCCACTCTGATGGATGCATTGCATTGTCTTCATTCAGAAATCATATTTATACTCAGTTGTGATCTCACATAATTCAATTTAAATGAGTGTTCGCCATCCGCCTCTCCACTTTTTCT